GGCGGGGGGGCAGGAGGCTAGGACGGGCCCGGCCCAGCAGGGGGCGTCCGGGGGCAGGAGGCTAGGACAGGCCCGGCCCAGCAGGGGGCGTCCGGGGGCAGGAGGCTAGGACGGGCCCGGCCCAGCAGGGGGTGTCCCGGCCGGTCGGGGGGGAGGAGGCTAGGACGGGCCCGGCCCAGCAGGGGGCGTCCCGGCCGGGCGGGGGGGGCAGGAGGCTAGGACAGGCCCGGCCCAGCAGGGGGCGTCTGGGGGCAGGAGGCTAGGACAGGCCCGGCCCAGCAGGGGGTGCTCTTTCTAGGCTCCCCCCACTTACCACGGCCTTCTCGATGGACTCGCTGCGCCGGAACCGGTCCCGCATGGCCTCCTCGTGCTCCCGCTGCTGCTGCTCCTGGGACGGGATGGAGGAGAGACCCTCAGAGAGCTGGGGCAGCTCGAGGGGGCTGGGCCCCCATGTCCTCTCCCCCCAAGCTCCTTGCCTGCTGCCTGCCTTGGTTCATGCTCCTTCCTGGGGGCCGGATCCCCCCGCCCTGCCGGCTCCCAGCCGCAAGACGCACTGTGCCACCTCCTGCGCCTCCGTACTCAGCCTGTGCCCACCCTGGCTCCGGCACTGCCCCCAGCCCCTTTCAGCATCTGCCTGGCAGCCCCCAGCCCTTCCCTGGGAGGAGGCTCCCCTGCTAGGCCCCAGCCCAGTGCTGGCTGCCGGCTCCCTGACGTAGGGGCAGGGCGGGCGCTGCTTCCACTCACCCATCGGGCTTTCTCCTTCCTCCGCTCCTCGGCCTCCAGCCGGGCCTGCTCCTTCCTGCAGAGAGAGCCAGGGACCCCGGGTCAGCCTAGGAGCTGGTGAGCCCCGGCTGGGCCCAGGTGCAGGGCTCCCAGGCAGGTCTGCGGGAGGGGGTGGGGGCACCAGGCCTGGCAGCCCCATGGCACAGGCTGGGGGACTCACCTCTGCTCCTCGATCAGCCTCTCCTTCTCCTTGAACTTGCGCTCTCGCTCGGCCGCCTCTCTCTTCTCCTCCTCCATGCGCTCGCGTTCCCAGCGCTTGCGCTCCTCCAGCAGCCGCCGGCGCTCCTCCTCCTTCCGCTGCTCCTCTTCCCTCTGGGACCCCAAACAGCCTCCAGCACCGAGGCCAGGTGCAGAGCTCCCACCAACACCCAGCAGCCTGGCCCAGCCCCCCTGCCCAGACACTGCCCCCCATTCTGCGTTTCCAACCAGCCCTGCTCCCAAAGCAGGGGCCTGAGGCGTCTCCCCAAGGGCAGTACTGCGGGGACGCACCAGCGGGCAGCATATACAGCAGCTTCATGGGGCCACATTCCCACAGGGAACCTGCCTGAGACCCCCCTTCACTGGAACCTTTGGGGGACTCAGGGGGGCAGGGCAGGGTCAGAGCCCAGAACCCCGCAGGGATCAGGCTGAGGCTGGGAACCCAGAGCCCGGCCCCGGGACCAAGGAGCACAGATGGATTCCTCCAGAGGCTCTCGAACCGTGGTGGTGGTGGTCCACGAGCTCCATTCAGGTGGTCTGCGGAGAGTTCCCTCTAAGGTGCGTGCCTGGGCGGCGGCACAGGAGAGAATTAAGGGCCACCCACCACATGTAAGGTGAGGTGGTGGCCTTGGGGGGAATGGGGGTAGCTGGTAGGGAGCAGTGGGGTGAGGTGGGGGAAATAGGAGGTAGGTAGGGGGAATTTGGGATGTGCAGGGCTGCAGCGGCCAGAGAAAGAACCCCCTCCTTCCCAGCCCAGCTTGGGGGGTGCCATGGCGGGGGAGAGAGGGAGAGACCCCCCCTCCTTCCCAGCCCAGCTCGGGGGCTGCCGAGACTACGGATATTAAAATATGAGTTGTGGGCTTTTATTTATAGAACAAAAAAAGTTAATTATTATTAAGTTTTTTTAATATAGCACTTTTATCCAAAGCGCTTTACAATAGTTAGCTAACGGTACAAACAACATTTGGAAAGATCATTAAATGACCCGCCGAGACCCTCAGCAATTTTCAAGTGGTCCGTGAAAAACAAAGTTTGAGAACCACTGGACCACTCATTCAGCATTCTCGCAGCTCCTGATGAAACCTCCCCTGGCTGCTCCAGGGGGCGCTGTGGGGAGCGGGGCAGGAGCCCAGACTGGGGGGGAGCGCCGGGCTAGTCCAGCAGGGGGCACTGTGGGGAGCGGGGCAGGAGCCCTGGCTGTGGGGGCAGTTCCCGGCTGCAGAGGCGTGGGGCAGGGCCTGGGGTAGGGTCCCTTGGGACTGCACTGTCTGCTCACCTCGGCCTGCGCCCAGAACGAATCCCGTTTGGTCCTGCGGATCTCCAGGGCGGGGTTCGTTTTCCTGTAGTTGGTGCCCTGCGGAGAGAGGCAGAAATGGGTCCAAGGGGGGCTCAGAGCAGCCCCCTCCCAGGGACATCTCCATCCCTGTGCTGGGCCATGGCAGCTCAGTGAGGGGGGAGGGTCCCAGGGCCCTGCAGGTGGCGTCACCCCCTGCCCCCCCGCCTGCCCCCCCACTCACCACCAGTTCCTCAGAGCCGCTGGCTGGTGCTCGCCTGGAGGTGCTGCCCCCTGCTGGCGCGAGCCGGGACAGCACGCGGTGCAGCCCCTCCTGCGTCACCTCCTCGGGGCGGCGGGCGCTCACCACCAGGCTGGCCTCCTGCACGAGGGAGGGGAGGACAGCGTCAGCCTCTGCTCACCCAGGCCTGGGACACGGGGAGCCCCCCGGGGCCGAGCCCCCCAAGGGGAACCCAGCACACAGCCTGGGAGAGGGGAAGGTGGCTTTCCCGGCGCAGGCCCTGGATGCAGCCTGCTCCATGCCCAGCTCCGGCCCATGCCCCCCAGCGGGGCGGGCCGCTGGCTGGCTGGTTTGCAGCCTGTCTCTGGCCGATTCCTGCCCATCCCCCCAGCCCTGGCTCCATTCCCGGCTATTTATAGGTTCTTGGGCTCCAGATGGTTGAGACCGTTTCCCCCTGGCTGCCGGGGCCAGGCCGTGCAGGGGGCTGGGTGCCTGGGCTGGGGGAGGACGGGACGGACACGGCCACTCACCGGGGGGGGGCCTTGGGGGGAGGGGAGCACCCGTGCACCGAGCTAAGGCTCCAGCGCTGTGAACAGGAGAGACACAAACAGCAGATGGGGCGAGGGGGGGTTGGAGAGGGGTCCCAGCTGCTCCCCCACCCCCTTCCTGCCCGGGGAAAGCCCCCCAGCTCCGGGGCCGGGGAGCCGGGCCAGGGCCAGGGGGAATCGCAGCCGAGGCTGGGAACGGCAGAGCCTGAGTCGGCAGCGCCGGGAATGTGCTGAGCAAAGCGTCCAAAGGCCAGGGGCTGCCCAGGGCAGGGGTCCCAGCTTGTGGGGAAGATGGGGGGGCAGGGAGTGAGTCTGACGGAAACGAAGCCAAACACCAGGGACGTGGCTGGGAGAGTGGGGGGGAGCAGCGAGACAGCCAAACCCCGGAGCTGAAACGGAGAAAAAGGCTGGACACACCCCACCCCCACAGCGCCCCCTACTGGGAGAGGCCGGAGCTGGAGTGGCCAGGAGGCCCCCCCGCCCCCAGCCAGCGCTCCTGCACCGCTCCCCACAGCGCTCCCTGCTGGAACAGGCTGGGACTGGAGTAGCCCAGAGCTCCCCCCAGCCAGCTCCTGCCCCGCCCCCCACAGCGCCCCCTTTCAGACAGTCTCTGTGACCCCAGTCTCTCAATGCCCCAAGTTCCCTGTGGTGCCCCCGCCGGGCAGCTCACCTTGAAGAAGGCCTTGATGGCAGGCAGATGCCCCGCACAGGTCTGTCTGTAGGACTCCGGCACCTTCTCCCCCACCTGGGCACCAAGCAGACATCAGCTCAGCCGGGCAGCCAGTGCCAGTGCAGGGCCCCAGACCAGGCCAGCTCACTCCACCCCCTGCCTCCATGGCTGGCTGCCGTGCGCTCCCCCTGCAGCCCCCGGAGAAGGGGCCCCCCAGGAGAGACCCGGCTCCCCCTCCTCTCTGTGGATACAGAATTTCACTGAGCTCGGCAGGCGGTCCCTGCATTCGTCACCAGGGCTGGGGCTCCCCTGCGGGGCTTTGTCTGTTCCCTTCCTCAGTTTCCCTCCATTCCCCTCAGTTGTCCAAGCGCCCATTTTCCCCCTGTCCCCCTGCAGACCCGTACATCCCCTTGGTTGTCACTCAGTCCCCTTAATCTAGGCCCCAACTGAGCCCACCCCCGCTCTGAGCACCCCGCAGCGTGCGATTGTCTCCGGGGTGCTGCCTGGAGCCGGAGAGCGCAGGGTCTGTCTGGACCAAGAGGGATGCCCCCAGCTCCGGATGGCGGGGCCCTGCTGCCCAGAACCACAGCCCCCGGGACGGTATCGATTCGCTGGGGGGCTTGCTCAGACAGCCCCAGGGCTGGGGGTGGGGGAACTCCCCAATGAGCCAGAGCTCTCAGAACTGGGGAGTCAGGTGTCAGGGGCAAGAAAGCACCCCGATCTGCTGAGAGCCAAAGCTGCAGTAGTGGGGAGCTCCCCGCACAGCCAGGGCTCCCGCCCCACTCCCCACAGCGCCCCCTGCTGGGAGAGGCCGGGGCTGAAGTAGTGGAAGTGGGGGTGCTCAGTGCTTGCTGGCCCTCCAGGGGGGCTGCAGCTGCGTTGTGCAGAGCGGAGAACAGCCTGCGCCCCGGGCGGGGGCTGTCAGGAACTCGAGTGCAGCCTGTGCCAGGGCACGTGGGGCACACGCAGCTCCCTGTGCCTGGGGCTGCACACACGGGGGGTAGGGCTGCACACACCCAGAAGCCTGCAGGGGGGGTACACAGCCCAGACGAACCCCCCCCCCCCCTTGGGTGCCCGGGGGCCGGGGGGGACCAAGGGCCCCCTTAGGCCCCCAAAGGGCCCCCCCCCTGCCCCCGAACCCCCCCCCTGCTCCCCCCCCCCCCTCTGAGCCCCCACCCCCTGCCCCCCCCCAACCCGCGCCCCACTCGCCCCGCCCCAGTGAGCGGGAATGAGAAGCAGTTATGGCTGCTGGGCCATGCCAGCGAGTGAGTCAGCGGGTGGGGAGGCCCCACGGCACTTGGTGAGGAGCCTGGGACCGGGCCGCACCAGCCATCTGTGATCCCCAGACAGGCACCAGCCCCCCAACCAGGGACCCAGCCCCCCAACCAGCCCCAGAACCCCCAACCAGGGACCCAGAAAAATTCAGGTGGGTGCTCATGGCATTAAGGGCGCTATAAGCACCCCCAGTAAGTCTGACCCCCGGCAGAGGGCAAAGGGACCCTCCATGCCCACCCTGCCTGCAGGTACAGGGCTTGCCGCCTCGCCGCGACTCTCACCCAGTTGATGAGGATGATGCGGGGCTGCCCGGAGCTGGGGTCCTGGACGCGGCAGAGGCCGTACATGACGCTGCTACTGGAGAACTTCCCGGCCAGCTCGTCTACCCCACCGGCTGCAATAAGACGGGGTGGCGGGGGAGGGATCAGCAGGGCCCAGCCACCCACAGTGCTCCAGGGGACACTGGGGCAGACCCCCACCTGTCTGGGGGAGGGGCACTGGGGCAGCTTCCCTACGCATCCTTATCCCCACCCCCCACACAGGGGGCAGCTCCCTTAGCCTGCCCCATGGAGAGAGTCCAGGGTGGTAGGAGAGATCAGGGAACAGCAGCTGGATTAGCTGCAGAGAGGTGCTGGGTGCGCTGTGCTGCAGGGAGCGGGTCATGGATCAGCAGGGGGCGCTCTCCCCGGCAGTCGGTGCTGCACTAGGGGGCGCTGTGCCGCAGGGAGCCGGGGGGGGGGCGCAGGAGGGGGCGCTCGCCCCGGCAGTCGGTGGGGCGTCGGTGCTGCACTGGGGGCGCTGTGCCGCAGGGAATGGGCAGGGGGCACTCTCCCCGGCAGTCGGTGCTGCACTAGGGGGCACCAGGCCACAGGG